AGTGAGGGAGACTATATATTAATATTAATTAAAAAGAATCATGAAAGGTTCAACCATGAGTAGTGGAAGAACCTTATAAATAATAGTTATTTAATAATGAATGCTTTAGTTTAGTTTTTTTTTAGGAGATAAGATGTGTTTAGGTTAATTTATATACATTTCAAAATTAATTTTTTTTAATTTTATCAAAACCAAATTATTAATGCTATGACTAAAAAAATTCATAAAAGCTACATTTTTATTTACATCTTCGGGAATCAAAATTTAGTTTATCTTAATAAAAAAACATTTTGTTAGTTGGCACTCTTCATAAAATAGGCATCGTATGGTGCTAATACTTTCTCCACGAGTAACTGTACTCATGTTTTGGTTTGGACAGGAGGTGACCAATCACAACAATTCAACAATTGTCAAGTAACCAATAGAGTACCACTTACGTCGAGACCTCTAGGACGTTGCGACACCTCAGCTTTAAACCCAAAACTTTAGACTTTAACGAAAGACAATCATTTCTTTTTTTTCTTTTTTTGTTACCCATTTCATCTACTTTTTGCGTGATAAGAAGTCAAGACTTCTCATTTCTAACTGCTAGACTATTTTTGTTGTTGGCTTAGTATCTTAGTCTTTATGAAAAGGATAATGATGTGGATACCAATGGGCAACACTCAAATCAACACCCATTTGATCAGTAGAAGTAAAATGACAAATTTACCCTCCTCACAACAAAACTCAATCAAGCCCGCCTCCCTTCATCCCTCTATTTTCCATCACTGTCCTCACCATCACCGCCACCTTCTTCCTCTCCCTTCATCCCTCTGTTTTCTCAATCATTCTTCTTCTTTCCCTCACCTCTTTCTTTCTTCTTCTTTTTTTTTTTCTCTCTCTCTCACACTCTGAAGAACCCAGATCGGGTTCTCCGAGAACCCACCTGGGTTCTTCAAGAGAACCCAGGGTGGGTTCTGCAAGAAGAACCCGATCTGGGTTCTTCAAGAGAACCCGATCTGAGCCCAGATCGAGTTCTCAAGGAGAACCCAGACTGGGTTCTCCAATAGCTGGAGCAAAAAAAAAAAAAAAAATTCAAATCTATAGAACCAAATGGGATGAAATTGCCATATTAAATCAAGTATACATGCGTAGCAAGTATACAATTTGAATTTGGTTTCGGGGAAGGAGAAAAGTGCTGGGATTTGTTCTTGCTGTGTAATTTGTGAAATGTGAGGAGG